TTTAGTTTTTATAGGGAACCAAACATTTTGTGACACTAACTTCCTTGTTTTAAGCTATGGTTACCTTCTTGTTTATTATGCTGCTAGCTGGGTGCCTGGAATTTCCCTTGAGGGAATTCAAGATTTTCCTTTATTTCCATGCTTGCCCCCTCCCCACTTCCTGCAGGCCTCTGAGAGGGACAGCTGTTCCACATCCATTTGGAAGAATAAATGAAGTGATTCTAGCTAAGAAGTTAAGAGATGAACAAAAAAACCCAGAGTCTGTGTGTAGGGGAAGTACTTACACTACCAGCTACCAAAATTTATTTCCTGTGACAAAACTACAAAGATTAAATGTAGTTTTAGGTTGGGGGTGGCCTCTCTAAACGTGACTCTACAGGCAGAAACTGTAAAGGAAGACTGGTCAGTTTTGGCACATTAAAACAAAACATTCTCATGCTCGCTTCGGCAGCCCATATGCTAAAACAAAACTATCTCACACCTACAACTGAAAAGGTAGTCTGGACGCAGTGGCTCACATCTGCAATCTCAACACTTTGGGAGGCTGAGGCGGGAGGATCAGTGGAGCCCAGGAATTTGAGACCAGCCTGGGCAACACAGTGAGACACCATTTCTCCGAAAGAAAAAAATAAAAGAATTAGCTGGATGTGGTGGTGTGACCTGGTAGTCCCAGTCACTCGGAGGCTGAGGTGGGGAGGATTGCTCAAGCTCAGGAAGTCCAGGCTTCCGTGAGCCATGATTGTGCTACTGCACTCCAGCTTGGGCAACGGAGTAAGACTCTATCTCAAAAAACAAAACAAAACAAAACAAAAGAGTTAACAAGTTAAAGTACAAATGGAGTAAACACGTCTGCAACAAACATGACAAGTCTTTCATACCTGTACTTGATGAGTGCCCCCCAAACAATAAAACCAACTCCCTAACTTTTAAAATGGGCAAACAGAAAAGTGGGCAAATGGACATAAACAAATTAACAGAAGAGAAAATAAAACTAGCAAAAAATAACCATGTGAAAAAACAATCCAGTGAACTAATACTCTAACAAAGTACAGAAGATGAGAAATAACCATTGTGAACTATATTTTTTAAAAAAACAGTCTGGTGTCAAGTACATGGAAATGGTCATTTTTCATATACTTGACATCACAGACTGTTTTTTTTTTTTAAATGCCATTTAAAAAATGGAAAACTAATAAGTTTTCCTGGAAGATAATTGAGAAAACCTTTAAAAAATATGCTTTGCCTTTGACATATCAGCTTCCCACTTCCAGAATTTTTAAAGCAGGCATGTGCAATGAAAGATGAACCTATAAGGGCACACATAGAATATTTATAAACAGTCTACTTTTATATAGCCACAAAGAATCATTTTATAAAAGAATATCTAATAAAATAGAAGAAAATTCACAAGACCGTGTTAAGTGAAGAAGGCAGAATACAATTTTGCAAGGCATTATCCCAATTATGCCAGCCATGCGATGGATATGCAGAGAGAAATACCGCAGGCAACATACTAATATATTAACTGTAATTGACTCTAGGAGGTAAAACTGAGTTTTATTTTCCCCATATCCCATTTATGCAACAGATTTTAAAAAGTGTTTTACGGCAATTCAAAAATTGCCTGTGTTGAAAAGCATGAAAGTACATGAAATTGTACTACTCTGGAAACCCCAGGAAGTGTATAGTTTGGAAAGCCAGGGCCACCTGCTAGTGGGTGAGTCACGGGCACGGGCTCGCACCTGCCACACAGACGCCACACAGGCTGCTGCGCGTTTCCAAGCAAATGCCCCACGTGCGCCAACGGCCACCTCGGACGTGGCTCCGCCTGGCCCGTAGCCAGAGGAAGTCCGGCAACTTCTGCTCTTTCTTAATTTCTGGAAAAGAGGGAACAGAGGCCTTTTCAAAGTTCGCAGGATCGGGCCTTTTCGTGCTCCACTTTGGAATAAATCGGAAGCCAGGGACTTCCAGGAGCGCCGCCGCCGTCCCGGACCTGCAGCGCCCGAGAGCGTCCTCACTGCGGCCCGGGTGAGCGGCCTGGGAAAGGCCCCGGGCACGACGCTCCGGGAGCTGCTGGCGCCCTCTTTGAAGTCTCCCGACGGGCTCCGAGCCTCTCATAAGCCAACGACTACCGACCAGCCCCGGTGACCAGAGGCCAGCCACGCGGTCGCCCTGGGACGCGCATCCTCCGCAGGGACAAAGGGTCGGGAAACTTGAGCTCTGGCCAGTCCCCAGAGACCCGCGCTGGTGGTTGCCATGGCAACTGAGTAGGGCCCTCTGAGGCCGGCCGCCCAGGCGCTGCAGCTGCGAAGGTGACCCGGCCCGCTCTGGAGGGGGGCCCGCAACCGGGCCCTGGCCGCCCCGCCCCGCCCCGCCACCAGGCCGCGGCCGCGGGAGTCGGCGACTGACCCTCCGCAGCTCCTGTAGTCACGTGGCGCTGGGAACCCGGCGGGGGGAGGTTGGGGACGGGCCTGGCAGTTGTGAACTCGAACCTGCCGCTGTCGCCGCGGCGGGGCGAGGAGCGGGAGCGGGCCGCGGAAGCCGGCCTTCGGGCTCCATGGACGGGCGCCGCGCCCCTGCACAGCCCGCAGCAGAGGTACGGCCCGGGTAGGGGCGCGGGGGTCCCCGCGGGCCCGCGGGGGGCCGCTTCACTGCGGGGCGCGTGACCGTGAGTGTGCGCGACCGTGTGTGAGTGCGCGGTGGGGTGGGGGGACGCTGCTGGATCTGCGGGGGTGGGGGAGCGCACCTGCGCACAGGATCTGCGAGCTGCGCGGTGCGTGGGACCCGAAATGGCTCGCTCGCAGGAGCGGTACCCGCGTGCCCGGGAGCGTGGACGGAGGACACGCACCAGTACAAAAGGGCAGTGTGGGGCTTCTGCTACCCGCGGCCAGCCACGATGCGGAAGGGGGTTCTGACCCAGTCCTGGTCACACCAGCTGGCCCTGCGCAGCCCCATGGGAAATAGGCCTGGAATTCCTGTCGGGAGGAGGGTGGGGGAAGGGGAGCCAGCAGGGATTCCAGAGTTCCTGCCATAGGCCGGCCTTTAGCCGTCAGGGAAAGCCCAGACCCTGGCCACAGAACGGAGAATTCGTTCTGTGACCTTACCAGGGAAGGAAGTGATCCCCAAAGACAGCAGTGTCCTTCCTTGTTGAAGGGGCACGTTCATTTATTAATCCAATGTCCATTAAGGTCACTCTGCCAGGCAGGGTGTGGGGCTTACGCTGGAGCGTGTGGCTTTGTGGGGGGAGGGATTGTGGCTGGTGAGGACACAAAGCTTCCTGCCCTAGAGGAGCTCAGAGCCTCACTCCTGTTTTCTCTCCCCTCCCCACAGGTAAGGCTGGCCTCTCTGCAGTCAGAGGTCTGAGCTCTGCCATGGGGGTAGGGGTGTCTTTATTGCTGCAGTTTTCTCTGACACCTGGGGGCTACCGGAGTGTGGGCCGAAGCAGGCGCTGCAGCCGCCGAAGTATCCCCAGGAACATCCCCAGGAGGAGCTGGAGAAAGCCTGATCCCCAGCTCTGCAGTCTCCAGGGTAGAGTCTGGCCTTTGCTGTGCTCGCAAACCACTGCACAACTGGGGTGCACAGGCATCCCCATTCGGCGGAAGGAAAGGGCCCTTTCTCATATCCTGGGGGGAGGGTCTTCCCTATGCACCGTCTGCCACTGGGGATGAGTGACCTCTGTGTTCCCTGAGAAGAGAGTGGGCTCTAGGGAATTTAGAAGGATGTGTCTGAAGCTGGTGAGCAGGCACAGAAGGGCCCTTAGGAGCCTAACAGCCGCCACAGCCTGCTTTCTGCGGAGGAGGCTTCTGTGCAGGAATCTGGGCTCCCCTGAGCTGTGGAAGAGGTGAACATGGGGCAGGACCAGGCAGGGGACTGAGATTACAATCTCTTCTTCCCTCCCGTTCTCTTGCCCCAGTAATCTCTAGCACCCCAAGGGAGGCAGAAGCAGCGATCAGGCCCTGAGGGCAGCAGGCTGTGGGTGTTCCTTGGATTTAGGGAGAGCATTCCTTCCTGCAGTGTCCTAATTTGTGTGGGTTGAAGAGGGCAGGCGGGCAGAGTGTGGGCACAGTCTGGACAGGCAGTGGTCTGGCATTAGACTGCTGGGAGTAGCACCCAGGGCCCCCCTCCTGTTCCCGGAGAAGGACTGTTCTTACTTGTCCTCCAGGCTCCCACTGAGACTGCAGATAGAGACGCTAAAGTGCCTCACCTGTGGGGCTGTGAATGAAAGGCTCTAGAAACTTTTTTTTTTTTTTTCCCTGAGCTCTTTGCATACCCAGGTGTTTTAGAGGAAAGAACACTGGCCTGGAGTTAGAGACCTGTTCCCTAGTCTTGGTTCTGCTGCTGGCTTACTGTGTCACCTTGGGCAGGTCTTGTCATCTTTTGATGCCTCACAGTTGCTTCATCTGTGAAACAGGGAGCTCAGTGTCTGCTTGTCCAGCTTCACAGAGTTGCTGTGCAGCTCAGTGTGGCATAGGAAATAGCAGACACAGGGAGAGGACAGCAGGAACGCACTTGGAAAAGCATAAGGCACTGTAGGGAGCAGTGGCAACGTTTTTCTGGTGAGTCCTGTGGCAGGAATGTGTGTGCATTCAGCACTGGAGCATTTACTTTCTGTCCGAGATTGGGGTAGCTGCCATGAGGGGGAGTCTAGTCTCAGAGTCTCTCCCTTCTGGAAGTTTCCAGGGCAATAAAGACATAAGACAAATATCCTTGAAATGTTATCTAAAAACCCAAGATTGAAATAATACCTATCACACAAAGAAGTAGGAGAGTAGTGTAGCTCCATGCCCAGGGCTCTAGGGATTCACAGATGGCAGCTCCTGTCTAGGGCTGAGGTTGGGAGGGGAGGAATGGGGCAGGAACCGGGCAGGGTGAGTTGGTCTCTGGAGTGACTGTGCTTTTCCGCCCTCAGCCGAGGAAGAACCGATGCTGGAACGTCGTTGCAGGGGCCCCCTGGCCATGGGCGTGGCCCAGCCCCGACTCCTTTCTGGCTCCTCCCAGGAGTCACCCCAGACCCTGGAGAAGGAGCCCCGCAGGCTGAGGCAACAAGGCATATCAGTGGCCCAGTCTGGTGCCCAAGCCCTGGGCAGGGCCCATCGCTGTGCCCACTGTCGAAGGCACTTTCCTGGCTGGGTGGCTCTATGGCTTCACGCCCGCCGGTGCCAGGCCCGGCTGCCCTTGCCCTGCCCTGAGTGTGGCCGTCGCTTCCGCCATGCCCCCTTCTTAGCACTGCACCGCCAGGTCCATGCTGCTGCCACCCCAGACCTGGGCTTCGCCTGCCATCTCTGTGGGCAGAGCTTCCGAGGCTGGGTGGCCCTGGTTCTGCATCTGCAGGCCCATTCGGCTGCAAAGCGGCCCATCGCTTGTCCCAAATGCGAGAGACGCTTCTGGCGACGAAAGCAGCTTCGAGCTCATCTGCGGCGGTGCCACCCTCCCGCCCCGGAGGCCCGGCCCTTCATATGTGGCAACTGTGGCCGGAGCTTCGCCCAGTGGGACCAGCTAGTTGCCCACAAGCGGGTGCACGTAGCCGAGGCGCTGGAGGAGGCTGCAGCCAAGGCTCTGGGGCCCCGGCCCAGGGGCCGCCCCGCGGTGACCGCCCCCCGACCCGGTGGAGATGCTGTCGACCGCCCCTTCCAGTGTGCCTGCTGTGGCAAGCGCTTCCGGCACAAGCCCAACTTGATCGCCCACCGCCGCGTGCACACAGGCGAGCGGCCCCACCAGTGCCCTGAGTGCGGGAAGCGCTTCACCAATAAGCCCTACCTGACTTCGCACCGCCGCATCCACACCGGCGAGAAGCCCTACCCGTGCAAGGAGTGCGGCCGCCGCTTCCGGCACAAACCCAACCTGCTGTCTCACAGCAAGATTCACAAGCGATCCGAGGTGTCGGCCCAGGCCGCCCCCGGCCCGGGGAGTCCCCAGCGGCCAGCCGGCCCCCAGGAGTGCGCAGCCGAGTCCACCCCGGTGGCGCCGCTGAAACCCGCCCAGGAGGCGCCGCCGGCGGCCCCGCCAGAGCCCGCGCAGGACCGGGCGGAGGCGGCCCCGTCCCTCTACAGCTGTGACGACTGCGGCAGGAGCTTCCGGCTGGAGCGCTTCCTGCGGGCCCACCAGCGGCAGCACACCGGGGAGCGGCCCTTCGCCTGCGCCGAGTGCGGGAAGAACTTCGGCAAGAAGACGCACCTGGTGGCGCACTCGCGCGTGCACTCGGGCGAGCGGCCCTTCGCCTGCGAGGAGTGCGGCCGCCGCTTCTCCCAGGGCAGCCACCTGGCGGCGCACCGGCGCGACCACGCCCCCGACCGGCCCTTCGTGTGCCCCGACTGCGGCAAGGCCTTCCGCCACAAGCCCTACCTGGCGGCGCACCGGCGCATCCACACCGGCGAGAAGCCTTATGTCTGCCCCGACTGTGGCAAAGCCTTCAGCCAGAAGTCCAACCTGGTGTCGCACCGGCGAATCCACACGGGCGAGCGGCCCTACGCCTGCCCCGACTGCGACCGCAGCTTCAGCCAGAAGTCCAACCTCATCACCCACCGCAAAAGCCACATCCGGGACGGCGCCTTCTGCTGTGCCATCTGTGGCCAGACCTTCGACGATGAGGAAAGGCTCCTGGCCCACCAGAAGAAGCACGATGTCTGAGACGGTGGGCGGGGCCGGGAAGGCTGAGAGAGGCCTGGGGTTCCTCGTGGAGGGAGTCACAGTGGGCTGGGGATGCCTGCCTCGTGCTGGGTTAGGGTACAATGGGAATCCCAGAGGGGATAGAAGAGGCGAGGAGTGAGCTGGGTGGGCCCTGTTAGCCAGAGAGGTCAATCCTGGTAGCCAGGGAACCCACTTCCAAGTTCAGGGATGCCGGCCTCCATCTGGTGTGTGTGTGCGCTAAGGTTCCTTCCTGACTGCCCAGTGCCCTGGAAAAGTAGCAATAGCATCTGCCCCTTAGAGCCCTCTGGCTAGAGGAGCCCCCAGTGGAAAGGAAGACCCTCCATCCTCTGGTGTTAACGCCTTAATTTCCCTGTCTTTTACTGTAAGTTACTTCAGATCATTTTTGGAAGTAGGCGTGGTACAGTCCTGTATATGAATGCTCTGGGCTACATACCGCTTGGAGAACCTGCTGGCCTTGTTAGACAGCACTTGGGCCTTTGCCAGCAGCAAGAAGTGAAGCCGAGCCACTCTTACCTCTCCCATCCCCTCCCTCCTGCCCGCTGTGTAGGCACTCAGACTTGGAGAGAACCATCTGCTGTTAGCACTTCCATCCTCTTCCTTCCCAAAGAGCAAACCCCCAAGGCATTTCCTCCTTGGTCTGTCTTGCTATATCTGTCACCCCTCCCAGCGCTGAGAGCCTCCCCTGGCTGTCTGTGGCGCTGTGTCCAGGCTCAGGCTCGTGTCTGCACACCCCAGCCCCTCCACTCCTTCCAGAGCTCAGCATGTTGTGGAAAGGACTGCCCCATTGGTGGTGGAGGGCCAGCTGAAGGGAAGTTACCGATGAATTTCCTTTTCACCATTTCTAGCATATGGACACCTGGGCTCTGCCTGAGCACTTAGGTCACAGGGACCTCCCCACCTCCTAAGGCCCTGGATGATTCTAATTGTTAGACATTCTAATTGTTAGAAATCCTTCCTGATAATGAATGAATTTCGCTTTCCTATAATTTCTACCTATTGGGCCTTGTTCTGTTCTCTGGAACTAAACAGAACAACCATTTACCTACCCGCCTTTTCAAACTAGAGAATAAAAAACATTTACCCCCCTTTTCAAACTAGAGAATAAAGATTTGGTTTTAGAACTGGTGGCTGGGGAGTGTTCCTTTTTCCTGGGGAGCTATGACCTGTGAGGAGAAGCAGCATGCTCGCCTCCCTAGAAGGACAGGGGGCTGTGGGTGGGGCTCTGGCCACAGGCCTCATGCCCAGTTTGCTGAGCTCTGGCACCCTGCCTTAGCTCTTCCCTGAGCACACCCAGGCAGTTGGGCTAATTCTCTGGGTGGTGCGCCGAGGCTCTAGAGAACTGTGGTGGGTGGGAGGTGCTCAGCTTGGTACCAAGATTTCTCTTCCTGGCCACTTGACTTCTTAGGTGGTCCGAGGGACACCTAATCATCTGGGCCTTCATGAAACTCCAGCTAGCACTATGAGCTCTTTTGAGGAGTGCTGGGTGTTAAATAGACTTCGGTTATACCTGGACTCTGCCTTCAGTAGCCCTTCAGAGGCTGGACAGATGAAGGAGCCTCTGGGAGGGAAGGCGGTTCCGAGCAGCTAAGACAGCACTCAGCTCCCACACTCCACACCCCACGGGGTCAGCCTTCTTTGAAGTTGTTGTCAAACCCAATCTGGGTCCACTTGCCCAGTGTTTGCAAAGCCTAATGTCAACAGTGAGATTTGCAGCCAGAGAAAGCAAGGTGTTTTTATAGAGCACGCCAGGTGAGGAGAATGGGCAGCTAAGGCTCAAACTCCCTGATGGCCTATAAGCAAGGGTATTTAAGGCAGGGGT